CCTCTAATCCGGTTTCTGGAAGGTTCCTTCAATCGCATAGTCAAACAATACGACTCNGCACCTTACCTTGAACTATGGGAGGAGTTTGCCCCGGAATCACCATCGATGAGCGTCAATCGAGCTCATTCTTGCGACCCTGGCTGCCCTGAATTCACTTGACATACTATTATTTTTGACGTCAAAAAGTTCTAAATAGAGGTTGGATACCAGTTCATTCAGTTATGATGATGAAAACCGTCACTTGGTTCGGTACGAAGTGCAGATAAAAGTGAATGAAGGCCGTTACTCAGCAATTTACATAGTCACAAAACAGATCCGTAATGAGTAAGTTAACTATGGTCATACAAAAAAGTAACTGTGACTGCTGATTGCTAACTTTCAGCAATGATTTCAAGGATGCTCCCGGTTTTTACACTCTCAAGACAGGATTGCGCAATGGCAGTTGCATATTCAACTCTAAAACGAAGGTGTTTACTCTCTGCTTTTGTATTCATAGCTCCTCGTTCCCTTTTCAACCGAACAGTAAGAAGTAATCCTTTTCCTACAGAGAGAGATTCGGATGCTAAACGAGCTAGCCAAGGCCAAGTTCCCTTGGGCGCCGCCTATGATCGACAGTGGGACCATCAACGGTATGCCTTTCATCGGTAAGTAACTTCGATCTCAGGTATGAAACTCAGAGCAGATGCAGAAGACATTTCAGTGATGGGCATTGTTGATGTAAACATTGAGAAGTTGCGAGAAATACTTGGTGGGAAGTTCAAACCGGCATCAGCGTTCTATATAGCTAAAGAGGTGCTGCGTGCTTTATGTGTAAGTTCTAGACTCTTGAAGAAGAACACCTCTAATCCGGTTTCTGGAAGGTTCCTTCAATCGCATGGTCAAACAGTCAGATTTTCTTATTTCAGGACCTCCACGAACTCCGTTACGTGCATAGGGATGTGAAGCCGACGAATATATGTGTGGGACTAGGGCCTATGGCACCTCGAGTGTTCCTCATCGATTATGGCCATTGTGTTCGGCGTGGAAAAAAATCCAGGTCGTTCTCGCCAACAAACTTCTCCGAAGTTTTGAGAACTTCAAACCCCATATGCGCATAGCCAGTATGGACACCTTGTCTTCCAGATACGGTACGCCTGATCAGTATACCCTTCCCTACTGGAGTATCGACGCTCACAAAAACAAGGCTGGTACAGAGAAAACCGACATCGAAATGTGGTTTTACACTTTTGCTGACCTGTAAGTTGTGTCAGTCAAAAAGATTTCGTAAAAGATATTATCCCATCCCATCTGTACACGTCCACTCAGACTCG